TGCAGCCATTATGGAAAACATTATGGAGGTTCCTCGAACAACTACAGATAGAATTTCCCTATGACCCAACAATCCCACTGCTTGGGTGTACACCCACAGGAATGGAAATCATATGTTGAAGGGACACCTGTACTCCCATGTTTATCACAGTTCTATTTATAATAGCTAAGAGTTGGAACCAACCTAAATGTCCATCGACAGACAATTGGATAAGGAAAATGCAGTATATGTACACAATGGAATACTATTCTGCCATAAAAATAAATGAAGTTCTGCCACTTGCAGCAACATGGATGAACTTAGAGAAATTTATGTTAAGTAAAGTAAGCCAGGTACAGAAAGAGAAATACCACATGTCCTCACTCATAAATGGGAGCTGGGGGGGGAAAAAAGGAAAGAAAGAAAAATACAACAATCACAATAATTCCTTGAATTTTCAAAAGGAGAGAACAGAACTGAGGCCACCAGAGGTGGGAAAGGGGGAGGTGAGGAGGGGGTTAGGGAGAAATTGGTAAAGGGCCACAAAAATGTTTACATAAAATAAAATAAAAGTAAAATAAAATACTTTCATTTAATAATTCCAATATTTTCATGAGAGAATTCCAAGACCTCACTTATGTATATAAAACCAAGAAAGATTAGAAGCTCCAAGACTAGGGTGATGCATACAAAACCTTATGACGAATCCTGATTAAGGTGCCATGACATTCGTGCCTGTGGTTTTTCAAACATCAAGCTGTGTATTTTTCCTCCTAGTATGGCAGGTCATTCTTCCATTGTTGTCTACAGTAGCTCATGGTCAACAGATCAACTCTTTTTCACTATTGTTATAAAGTATAAAATTCCTCAAAAAATAGTGTATAGGAGACAGAAAGTTTACATGAATAAAACTTAAGGATTGTCAAAGCATTATGAAAAAGATATTAAACTTGTACCACTTCCTAATCATCTCTTGCAATATGAGATTATCAAGGACAGTTGAGACTTGGTTGTCCATGTTTTATTCTGGGCTCAGATTTTGTTCTAGATATTATTTCTTTTGTCACTCTTCTGGATTTATAATTTTAGTATTCTCCCATTCTCTAGCACACCTGTGGTATATATATGAGAGTCTGAAGATTAATTTCCCTAAGGTCATCATATGTTCAAGTTTACTTGCATTTGCCATAGCAAATACTACGACTTATCACTTATGAAAAAAGAACTTTTGTTTCTGAAAATTCACATTATATAGCAATATTCTCTTTCAGTAAGCTGAACAAAATGGAGTTGATGTGGTACATTGGTATGGAGAAATCAATATGCTGAATGTTACTTGTTACTCTTCTTTGTAAAGAATTGTTAAATAAGTTCTATTGGTGTACAGCAGTGCTAGGAACCTATATTAACAATAATCTACTGTATGTTCTCAAATGGCTAAAAGAGAGGAGCTCAAATGCTCTCGTCACAAAGAAATGATAAATATTTGTGATGATGAATATGCTAATTACCCTGTTTCATCATCACAAATTGTACACATGTATTGAAATATAACTCTGTACCCCATAAATATGTAAATCGATGTGTCAATTAAAAAATGTTTTAGAAAAATAATTGTTATTCCCGTCCAATGGACACGGTGATTGGGTGGACCCTAAGCATTATCCATGACCATATGCAGAGCTAATGGAGTCCTTGAATAGCATGTTTCATGCTCCTTCTGAAATATGAGAGCACGTAGTCTGCAACGGAGCCATGTGAAAAAGAGTTGCCAAAATAACTGAAGAGTCTCTCTAACAGGCAAAGATATTCGTATAAATATTACTATATATAGTAATAGCAGCTAATGTGTTTAATATGTTATCAAGTACTATTCTGATGCTTTACATGTAATAACTCTTTAATCATCAAAAAAACTCCATGCAGTAGGTACTATTATTATTACTCTTTTTACATGTGAAAAAAACCAGCAGGCTGAGATAGGCTAAGTAATTTGTTCAAGTCCACACAGCCACTAAGTGGTAGAAGCCGGACTTATATCCAGATAGTCTGACTGCAGAGCCCATATTGCCTCATTCTTGTTCTCTATCCAGTGAAGTCAATGGCTTGGGGTTTTGATCCTATCACTGACTTTGTCACAGCCTATTGGTGATGATGACAAGACATTTCTGGGGCATTTTTCGAACAATTCCAATTTTGCTTATGGCAAGGGAATCTCTGCCATCCAGCAACCAATTTCATTCACATTGCAAAAATATTAAACTGTACTAAAAATATTTGCCAGAAAATACTGAAATGAAGTAAGCCCAAAGATTTATCACTGAATGTAGAATTATTACACAATCTCAAATGATATAGCTGTTAGTTGTCAAATAAGTTATGTAATAACGGAAGTGACCACATTTGACAAACTTCCATTCACTACATAAATGTAAGATACTTTTATTGTTAAACTTTTATTTTGAACCCTAACAAAATATTTTGAGGTATTCAAAGTCTGTTTTGGGATACAAAATATTGTTTGAGTTGTGCTTTGGTTCAAAAGAGCAGAAATTATTTTGGGTAAACTCTGTCTGACTGTCAAAAGTTTTTAGGAACAATATAATATATAAGTATGAATCTCATTCCTTTGGATACAAAAAGTCCTCTCAGCACCACTCTTTCTTCATAAGAACTGCTTCTCTGGACCCAACGTCTAAATATACTGAGGTTGATATTATGCATAAAACAGAATAAAGTAGTAGAACAATATTCTCTTCAAGCCTGGACATAATTCTACCACCATGAAATGATGGGTTCTGATTTATGGGTCAAAATTAGAGATATGAGGAGCAAAAATTCAAAAGCACATCCTTGGAAAGGGAAAAAAAATAAACAAAGAAAAAAGATTTTCTTTCCATTCCAGAATGAGTATAATGGTATTATTAAGGAGGGCTAGAAGAAGTAAAGCACATCACAGAGCATGTTGCTGTAAGTCTCAGTGCCTACATACATGTAAGGCCAGTAAACATAGACATGTATGTATTTATTTCATTTTAGAGCTTTATGATTAGAAAAGTGGTTCTCAACCAGAGGGATTTTGCCCCCAGGAGATAATTGGCAATTTCTGGACACATATTTGGTTGTCACAATTTGAGGTGGGGGTGCTACTGGCCAGAGATGGAGTTAAACATGTTACTTACAGTGCACAGTAAAGCTCCTCACCACAAATTGGCCCCAAATGCCTATAGTGTCTAGGTTGAGAAACCCTGGACTAGAGGAATAGACTTCAGGCAGGCCTAAAATCTATGTCTACAGGGAAGGTGGTACATCTGGGAAAGTGACTCTTGATTCACTCAAATAATAAGCATCAGAAATGTGTGGAAGTTGTTACTAGTTACATGCACCTGTGATCAGTTAGGTACCTAGCCAGATTCTCAAAAAGAGTTGAGTAGTTATAAACCCCTGCCCCCTCCCTACATAAGAATGGAAAAGGGAGTTTCTCAGTGACAAGATCCTCACCCTAATTAGGGAGAAATTATGATGCCTATATGGGAACTCAAAGGCCAAGGAAGTTTTTCCATCTGATTAGGACTGCTATCTGACTCCTGTTCTGTGTAGCTGTCTATGGGTAGGTAGTAAGTTGTATTCTTATTCCATACTGAATGAACTTGTAGCCTTTGCCTAGGTAGATATCTTTCCAAAAATCATATCACCATCCCAACATGACAATGTACATTGTCATACAATAAAAAACTGTCCATTTCTTTATTCTCTCAAGTATATTCCCATGAAAATGATGTGGCTTTCCTTCTTCACATTTTCTTTTCTCTGCTTCTTCTCTGGGCTTATGCATACATTTATCTTATATGGATATAGTTTTTGGTAATTATCCTCTAATTATTTCGTGTGAATATTTTGCTTATTAGATCTTGGATCAGGGCAAAAATTATATCTTCAATCTCCTTTGAGATCCCCTCTGCACCTAGTATAATTTTGAGCACAAACAGTCATTTAACAGCTTATTGAATGAACTAACCAATAACACAGTCAGTGTCACTCAATGACAGGAATGTGTTCTGAGAAACACGTCGTTAGGCAATTTCATCGTTGTGCAAACAATCATGAGTATACTTACACAAACCTAGATAGCATAGCCTACTACACACCTACTATACCACAGCATACAGCTTATTGCTCCTAGGCTACAAACCTGTACAGCATGTTACTGTACTAAATACGAAGGCAATTGTAACACAATGGAAAGTATTTATGTATCTAAACATATCTAAACATAGAAAAGGTACAGTAAAAATACCATCATATATGTGGTCCATCATTGATCGAAACATCATTATGCAGCACATGACTGTATTGTATAGAAATGAAAGATCAGAATAAAATCCACAATAAATTGCTATACTGATATTCCACAGGGCACATAAGGCTGATTGGACCATTCATAAAAGCACACACATCAAGCGCATAACATATAATTATCTGCAACAAGTAAATTAAAAGAATGATTGTGATGCTGTATTGCTTAAATTTAAAGTACAGTTTCTTGCTTGCTAGAAATGTAATAGTACTTGAAAAGGAATTACATTTATTCTTTCTTTAGTCTTTTCTATAAAGCAATCAAGTGAGGCAAAATGCTGGAGATTTAAGCCTCTTAGTATCAGTGCTTGAAATGGATGGATTTTGGTTACATATTGACTACATGCAAAATCAGAAAGTAAGCTTAATTACTTGCTATTTCTGTTAAATGCTGTGAACAAGCCAAATACTTTAAATAACTCCACTAACTGGCTTCAGTAGAGATGTATTCAACCATTGTTTGCAAACAATTAAATATTCAGTGCACTCAAATAGCTATTTTATGGAATTCTTTCACAAAAGGGATCATTGTTAAATACCAGAAAAATTGCACCTGAGTCATGACAACTAACATTAAAAACACACAGACATGCAAATAATAATTTTCCTGACCCCAGTATAACCAACAAGTATTTGTGATTTAAAAATGCCCTACTGTCACCTACCTGGGATGAAAAAGTACACACTAGGAAGTCTGCCTGGGAGAGAAAATGTATATCCAGGATCACACCCCGAAGTGAATTTTCTGTGTACCGATTGTGCAGTCCAGCTGACCAAGAGATAGAGTTGTCACTAATAAATTCATAATTGGGGTACCTAAAAAAAGAAATAAATTTATACATGGTCATTGAAATCATAGTATTCTATCAGGAGGTAGACCTGCTCCTTTGACCAAGAGCTCCTCACTTTCTAATAGTACAGAGAGCTTTAATTAAGGCATTCGATAGAGTTGTTGATGAGTCATCTCAGAATCTATCAGTGGACAGAAACCATTCTGGAATGCCCTGTATATTTAATGTTATTGGCATATCACAAAACACACATACATATATCAAAATGTCCTTTATCAATTCATGAAAGAGTTGAAAACTGAAGGCTACTTATTCTCCTTTTAATAAGTTACCCCTAAGATTTACTCAAGCTGCTTTCATACTTGCTCACCAAGCTTTTCCTTTAGAATATAAATATCATGATAAAACTTCATTTACATTTTTAATTTTGAATTTGTGACAATTCAGATTAGACTTTGTAAATGTTTTTTTCATTGATACTACAAGTTAATAATACAAAGAAGTTAAGAGCTGAATATTTTAAAAATTTGTGAGAATCAATATTCTCCCCAACTCCCATCCTTTTTTGGTTTTTTGTATTAATGTTTTATTTTAAGATGTTTCACTGCCATTCATCCAACCAAATCTTACTTTATTTTTTTCATTTATTTTTTAATTGAAATGTATTGATTCAACATATTTATGGGGTACAGAGGTATATTTCAATAAACATATACAACGCTTAGTGATCATATCAGGGTAGTTAGCAAATTCATCATCGCAAAAATTTATTGTTTCTTTGTGATAAGAACATTTAAGCTCCTCTCTTCTAGCCATTTGATAACATACAATAAATTATTAATTATAGATGCCTAGCACTACCGTATACTACTAGAACTTATTTTTCCTATTTAGCTGTAATTTTGTGTCCATTAACCAACTTCTTCCCTACTTCCCCTCTCCCCTTCCCAGCCTCTAGTAAACAGTTCTTGAAGAGCCATCTACTTACACTTAACAAATAAACAATAATATAAAAAACCTTTCTAATAAATTAACAAAAGCAATTCCTTGTAGACGTGCACCAACTAATATTTTGGTAGTCTTGCTTGAGATAGGATATGTGTTTAAAAATATTAAAATAGGATGTCTTTAAAAAGCCTATCATATGTTCAAATGATTCTACTTGGAATTAGAGGTCTAACTGTTCTCTAGAATAGAGGGATTCATTTTCTCAATACGTGAGGTAGATTTTCAAAATTAAGTTGCAAACCTTGGGAAGTTACTTGGAAAAGGGATAATAATTATACCTATTTTATATAATTTCATAGGAATTCATACATTAATTGATGTAAAGTGCTTAGTAGAGTCCCTGACATAGTAAATGCCCAATAAATATTAGCTGTGATTATTAAACATTCTTTTCCCAGATACACCTGATTCTATTCCTCACTTCTTTAGAGCTCTGCTAAAATATCATCTTAGTGAGGAGTTTGGCAATTCCTATCCCTTTTACCTGCCTAATTTTTCTCATGAAAAATGTCTCCTAATTATGTCTCATGACATAATTTTTCTCATGGTTCTTGTTATCACTTGACATAATATATATTTCTGGTTTACTGCCTGCATCTACCCTCCTCCTCCATCATCTCTAACTAGAATATAAGCTCTATAAAGGGAGGCATTTATTCTCCTTTGTTCACTGTATTACTTTCAGCAGTGAGAAGAGAATCTGGAATATAACAGAAGATGAATGAATATTTGTGGAAAGAATAATAGCTCCTATTTAGAAACCCTGAAACATTAGGAGTCATTTTACACATCTATCTTCCAAACAGTATTCCCCAAAGGTTAGGCCCATACTTTATTTTTCTTTGCATCACAGCACCCAGCGCTCCACTCAATGCTGTGTGAATAAATACATGAACAGCTAAGTGCTACCTGTGTCTGAGACTTTTCCTAATCCCCTAACAGTGGCTTCAGATTTCTCTTCATTTGCTGGCCACCAAGGAGCTTTCCCTGATTGCCTCTCTATTAATAAATGATTGTAAAGGCAAAGTCGCTAAGTGCTACCTGTGTCTGAGACTTTTCCTAATCCCCTAACAGTGGCTTCAGATTTCTCTTCATTTGATGGCCACCAAGGAGCTTTCCCTGATTGCCTCTCTATTAATAAATGATTGTAAAGGCAAAGTCTCTGAGCACTGTTTCAGACTGGTATTCAGTATTCAGATCCATCTGGTCTCATTATTTTTGACATTTTGCCCTCCTCAGCTCAGAATCAGGGAGATGAAGAAAACGTAACATTTGTTCCAAAGAGAAAACAAGCAGAAACACTTTTAATGTGATCCCTGTGAAGCTGCAAACCCAGGCTTGGGGCAGAAACAGTGACAAATAAAAATGCCGAGGGTGGGAGAGAGGAGAAACTGATAAAAACCAATACAGGTTTTATCCTTGAATAAAGATTAATTTTGGGTGCTCAGTGAAACAAAGTAGTGATCCATTTACTGAAAAGTGACATTAACATTAATGGCTTTCCTAACTTAAAAGCCCTTCTCCAGAAACAAACCAAAAGGGTACCTAAGTTCCTCAGGCTTATCTCTATATGCAAAAGATGGCTTCATGAAGGGTACTGAGAGTGGAAACAAACAAACAAAAACAAAATAAATAATGGGAGAAGATTTTGTACCTCCAATAATGAGCATGGAACTTTCTGTACAAATATGATTCTTGTCTTTTTTGCCCTCAAGTATGTCAGCAGAGGAATTCTTCTTACCTTGAGGATTCAGAGAGTGGCAATAATATAGTTTTTTTTTTCTTTTTCCACCTTATAAAAATTAACTTTTACATCACCTGCAAAGGACTAGCTTACAGTTATAAACTAATATCAATTTTTCTTTTTTGATGTCTTTCTCCAGACTGAGGGAGATACTCCTCTTTGTGATTTCACTGTACCTGGTATATAAGTCCTTCAGGACACTTACCTAACTACAGTGTAATTATTTTTTACATGTATATTGTGCATCAGTTGTATACTCCCTAAGATAAGGGGCCACATATTTTCTATTTGTCTTTGAATTCCTAGTGCCCTGTACTATGTCTAGCATATTATAGGTGTTCAATAGAATAGTAAACAAATATAACACTCATTGCTGATTTTTCATTTCACAGGGCAACCAAACACTTTACAAAAACTTTTCAACAATTTTTTCTTGCCTCTATTCATTTCAATGTACCTAATTTTAGGAAGAGCACATCCAGCATTTTTGATAAAGAACAAATTAGATATGTAAATAGTTTATCTGGGAAATTTTTAAAGGCTTATTTTTTTTCCTATTTTACCCTTATCTCCAGTCTCCACAATCTTAAAACATAATATTAGATAGACAACTTTAATAGTTCTTATTTCTTTGACCACCAATGATTTTGTAATTTATTTTTTTTTTTTATTTTTATTTTTTTTGTCAATATACAATGTATATGATTGTTTTGGCCCATCACCGACACCTCCCGCCCTCCTCCCTCTCTCCCCTCCCCCCCAAGAATGTCCTTTCCGTTTGTTTGTTGTAACAACTACAAAAAAAGTATAGTTGTTATATCTTCTTCCCCACCCCACCCCACCCCCCGGTTTTTGTGTGTGTGTGTGTGTGTGTGTTTGTGGGTAAATTAATTTGTTTATTTATTTATTTATTTTTTTAGCTCCCACCAATAAGTGAGAACATGTGGTATTTCTTTTTCNTTTTTTTTTTATCATAAAAACAAGGAAGTTTCACAAGAAAAATCAGTTTATTCAATCATTTCAAAAGGACACAAAGACATGGGCAGTGTGACAAAATTTATCTATGGCTAAATATATTTAAGCAATGGAAACTAGTAACATCAGTAAAATTAGCAATGTGACATTCCAAAGTATAATTTATGAAAAGCTAAGTCGGTCAAATTGTGATCATTATCTAAAATATAACCTCTCCTCAAATGATTTAAGCAAAAGTTA